ATTAGATGCTTCGGACTAATTGTGGGTGCCACGTTGAGTGATAATTTTCATTTAAATCTTCAATTTCAAAAAAGGGAGTTTTATAAATTTAATTTAATCTTAACGGTGAATCATAGGTCTATTAGGATATTATATTGGCGATTTCTATATCGGTAAGAATTATTAATTAATATCATAGTAGTCCAATTTGCTGCCATTGGAGTGGAGTAAGAGACACGTGCATGCATCACTCTATCACTGTTTATAATTACCAATCATCAGCAACTATGCAATGTACTAAATGGATTAATTTCATCGAGGAGCTATTTTAATTTTTTTCCTTATCTAAATCTTAATAGGTTTGGACTATTAGTAGAACTTAGAAGAGAAACAGTTCAAAATACTTAAAATTAAAAGATTTTCTTCTGTCCTTAAGAGTACATTAATAAATGTGCTAGTCTGCCTGGTTAATTAGGCATACACAGTCTCAGTAGTACTCCTAGTACTGTTTTGAGATTTGTGATCTTGTTTTTTCTTCTGTTGGGAAATCCCCGGAACAGTGTCAACATGTGTAGTTCTCAAACGAGGAAACAGTATTTAAAAAAAAAAAAAATTACAGTCCCCAATTTGGGAATCACAACCAACAAAATAGGGAGTAATTAATTTGTTAATTTCCTTGCAAATCGCATGCTTTCTTTGTCTCTGCTGTTGGAATTTACCTGATGGCATTTTAACATTATTCTATGTAATATATATAGTGGATAGAGGAGACAACACGTTATATAATTCGCAAATGTTAATCACCAACATAAATTTCAGAAGAATAATGATGGAGAGTTGGAGACATTAGATTTATCCACAGTATAAGGTAACCTCTTCTTTTTGCCCTCAAATGGATATATTGTGGATGTGTAGATATTGAATTAACTACAACTACGTTAGTTAGTATATATCATGTAGGTTGATAAAATGATGGTATTTGGCTATTGGTTCTTGGAAAGCACGAGTAGTTAATTTGAAAATGAAGTACATTTTGTAGATTAGAAAGAAACACCCTCTTAGATTATAAATAAATAGAAATTAGAAAAAAAATAATTAAATAACCATACATTAATCTTCTTCTTTTTTTTTTCCCTTGATTTGAAAATATGGTGTTTTTTGGATATATGAGTTAATTAGTAAACCTCTATACTTGATAAGAACGATCTTTCTATATTTTAGGCCTACATGTATAGTTATTATCCAATTTTATTTAAATTTTTACTTTAGTAGAATTCGTATTATAAACAAAAATCAAAATGTATTATTCCTGGACAGAAAGAGTAATATTTACATAATTTAAGCATTGGAGTAGAACTGCTTTTAGATGTAAAAAGCTGGTGATTCCAAAGAAAGAGAAGCCACCGGAGCCCCAAGTTGTACGAAACCACAAAACGAGACCTTTGTCCCCCCAAATTCAGATGATACCACCATATGTTGGCTTCAATGTTTTACTAGTTTGTTTCTGCGCGTAAATTTGATCATCAAACTGTGTTCTACACATCTGCGTACGTACGCTCTAATTAAATGACGTACCTTTTCTTCTTGAAATGATTGAACCAGATGGCGCCACCTCAAGGATGCATACTTTTAAATCCTTCCTTGCACTCCAAAACCAACAAACTTTCCAGAATTCGTTCTACTCGAATGAATTAGATTTCTGTCCTAAAACGTATGATGTGTATCAATCTGTGTGTTTGTGGATAAAATGTATTCGAAGAGTTCTTAAATTAGAATTGGTTTGTGAAATTGCAGTATCTCACTCAACACTCGAATTTTAATTGTACCTCCTTACGTTTAGGCATCTCTCTAATTTAATAATTTTGGATGATGGTAATTTTCGTGTTACTCTTTTTTTATTTTTTTTGTATTACTTACTTGACTAGAACATGATTTGGTCAAGGCTTTCATCTATTGAGTGTTGTAATTTTGAGTCTTAGATTATGAATTCTTTCATTATAAAAATATAAAAATAAAAATAAAAATAATGATTGATGCATTTTATTCGTACCTAGGAATATATAGCCGTTTGACAATTATATATATATATATATATATGGAAACGTTTGATTACTTTTGAAAATTTAATACAATTTGCATGCAAAATTAAGACAGATGTATCATCTAATTCATACGGACGAGAACATCGTTCAGTCTCCAATACTTACTGCTGTGAAAGAAGCTGAAAGGACATTTTTTTATTTTCGTATATTTTCTCTGTTTTAAAGATACGCACATTGTAACTTCAACTTGTAACAAGTGTACTGTACATATGCATGAGTCACAGTTACATATGCGTGACAAATTAATGAAAAAGTATAGTTTGAATATACTTGCGGAAGATACTATATCATATCATATATATGCAGCATCTTTGACGCCTTTTCGGTTTTCTTTTCGAAGTGTTGCAAATTAAAGCCCTTCTTCGTTGAATGTGGTTACAGGGGAATTACTCAAATTCTACTAGTTATGGTACGCTGTACGTACATAGTGATCGAATCGAAATAGCCACTACAGTAACTTCACAGGAAGTGGCTGTCTAGCTAGCAGAGGACTATATTTATAAATATAGCATAAATGGTAGTAGGGTTAGACGTAGACAAAGGTTGGTTCAACATCTCATGATGTCTATCACTTTTGTTATTCTCTCTTTCCAAAAGGTTCAATAATTACTACGTTCAGAGTTTAATTTGTATGCGTGTAAACTATGTATATTCTACTTGGTTACTTTTATGTATTTAGTTATTTTACCAAGGTTTAAGAGTATCAAAATGTTCCGTCCGAAAAATGAGTAGCATGTTTGTGGTACTAAAAAAGTATAATAATTATAAATAATTATTTGAAATTGAGGGGGCCGGATTGGTAAATTAAATTAGTACGTGGATTGATACTGTAGAGATAAAGAAACTAAATCAGTTAATCAAATTATGATTGGGATTTGAATCTTTGGTATAGCTGGGAACATAATCATACGATTATTACAGAAATACTTACAGCCAAACTAAAAGAAGTAAGTATACTAGTAAGAAAGTGAAAATTATCAAATACTTGCTATAGTATACATTCAATGCATGGCGGGGAAAAATTATGTGTATGGCACCGTCATTTCAGCATTTAATTCCTCAAATCATTTCCCTATTAGTGATAAATCATTTTTTATTTAAGAGGACTAGAGAAATCCATTTATAGTGAAATTTTAATACAGCACAATATTACACTGTTTCTTTTTCTTCTTTTTTTTACTCATAAACATATACAGTATTATTGTTTGAGGTGATGCGTGATATATAACTACGTACTAATAGCAAATATATAACAATTATAACAAAATAAATAAATATAAACTTCAATCAAAATAAATAAAGACTTATTTTTCTTTTGTTTTTTTTTTTTTTTGGTAAAAAGGCAAGTAACCTACGTTACCGTACATGTCTCCTACATTTGCACATATAGCAATGTCATTGTCAAGTGAAAAGGTTGAACAAATCTTGAAACTTTATAGCTATGATGATGAGAAGGATAAAATAGAATCACATTCCTCCTGCATTTTCTATTTCCTCCTTATAAAAATATTCTCATCTTCTGGAATTTACGATAGAAAAAGAATAATCATCTAGGTTTTAAACTTTTAATCATAAGCAATCCAAAAGTTATTGCACATCTGTAGGTATAGCTTTTGCCCCCGACATTCAAATACTTTTAATATTCTTCCATTTCAAAATAATTATCATTTTTTAAAATTTCAATTTTAATACTATTCATAAAAAGAAATGAATGTTCTAATCATTTCAGGATAAAATGAGTAAAAAAAAATTTCCAATCCTTTTTAAAATAAAAATTCCGTTTATTGTACCGTTTCAATTTAACGAATAGAACTCTTCTTCTATTAGGAAAGAGAGTCTTTTTTTTTTTTTTTTCCTATTTTTGTAACGAAGTCCAGAGGTTTCTTAGAGCCGCCCGGCCTTTCTCTTGTTTGATTCACTCGAAGAACCATGTTCTTTCCCAAACCCATTAAGAGTTCCTCCAAAGGCATAATTTAGGACCATGTTCTCATGTTCTTGTTTGATTCTTGCTAACAACTGGTTTTGAGTTTTTACCATTTCATTAATTTGGTGTTAAGAAACTATCATCCATGGTGGAAAAGAAAAAAAAAAAAAAAAAAAAAACGTATTCATGGTGTCTATTACATTTCGCTAATGAAAGGAGGATTCATGGTGTCATTACATGAGTACATCTCCCTAACAAAGGTGGTTTGAATTTAGAAAAATAATGAGATAGGCTGAGAATATATGTTTAGTGAGATACTCCAAGGCACATATAGTAGATTGACTTCTTTTTTTTTTAATGAAATTCTTCTGTATGATGAAGAATGTAGTTAATTTTGCATGTACGGCCAGTACCTCAAAACCATTTTTTCACCTGTTATAAACTCAAAAATCGAGACAAGCTAAATGTTATCTATATAACATTTCAACTACTATTTTAAAATGTATTTTAAATACTATTTCTTCTCCGAAATTATTTTCTAGGATTTTTATCTTTACATTTGTATTAAAAATAAAAATCAAAATTGGACAATAATTTCAGGACAAAAAAAAATATTATTTTTTATATAATTTTCAATCAATACCATCGACTGCCGCGGACTGACAATAGTTGGACAGCTGATGATAAATAAATTAATATTTTATTTAAAAAAATTCATTCTTTTAATATTTTAAATTTTCATTTAAAACTGTCTTTTAAATTACATTTCAAATCTAAAAGGAACACAAAAGTAAAAAAAAAAACAAAAATGCTGTCCATAGAGGCTTTTTCATGTGACTACAGCACTATTTCGCTTTCTTAACCGTTATTTTTGCAACTGCAATGGCATACCCATGCTATAAGGTGGCCCAACCCATATTGAGCCCATTTAGCCCAAAATGGGCGAAGCATTTGGGTCATTATTTAATCTGAAAAAAGAGAAACCCCTTTGGCCAGCAGCATCGTTCAACAGTTTCACTGGAAGGAGTCCTCCTCCAGACGCAATCAGAAATAAAACCTCAAACTGCTGTACAAGTACAAATTCCAAAGAAGTGTGGTATGGAGTAATTGCTTCTTTACTGTTTTTCATTCTCCCTGAAAATGCTCAACAGCGTTTTCATTTTTTTCCCCCGTTCATTAGACTTTAATCTCTTGTTAGATTCATCTGTAGCCATTGTTCATGGTAATCAGCGATTTCCGTCAAGATTCAATCTTTTTGAAAAATTATGATGACCCAGTAGCGTAATGTGATCACTCTGGTATTATCAACTGGTTTTCTTAAAAGCCCTGATTATGAATGGAATTTTTAAGGACTAGACTGTTAAGTGAAATGGTGCCTAGTTATACTGTTACAGCATTCGAGTCCAATTTGTATATGTTTCGAGCTCCGGAAAGTTGAATTTTGGTGGGTTTTGATGTTTATAAGTGACAGTGGACGTAAGATGTGTTGTTTTGTGGTTTGAGTCAGTTTACATAGTTTTTGAAAGAGAGACAGGAGGTGGAGTGGAGAAACATGAAGCAGTTGTTCTGTTCTCTTATAGGGACAGTGAGGTATTATAGTTCTGGTGCTGCTTCTCAGCAACCGAAATGGAAGAAATCCAAGTTTTCTAAGAACAAATATAAGAAGAGCAAAAGTGGTGCTACAACTCCTAGAAAGCCTAAAATACAGTGGACTGATGAACAATCTAAAGCCCTGAGGGCTATTCGTGATGGAAAGTCTGTTTTCATCAGTGGCTCAGCTGGAACTGGGAAAACTGCTTTGGTTGAGCATGTTATTAAGGAACTCAAGAAAAATCACGGTCGATCGCAGGTTTTTGTGACAGCTTCAACTGGAGTTGCTGCGTGTGCCATTAATGGCTTGACCCTCCATTCCTTCGCCGGCATTGGCCTTGCTGATGTTGACCGCGAAACTTTGCTGTCTAGGGTTTTCTCTGATAGGAAGGCCTACAGGAGGTGGAATAAGGCCAAAGTTCTGGTTATTGATGAAATTAGTATGATTAGTGCTGAATATTTCGATATGCTAGAGTACATAGCCCGGCTAGTACGAGATGGGAATCCGTCGTTTAAGCGCAGAGTTTGGGGTGGATTACAGCTGGTTGTGAGTGGAGACTTTTACCAGTTGCCTCCTATTATTAAGAAGAATAAGAAGGATGAGACGAAGGATGTAAAGGTATATGCATTTGAAGCGGATTGCTGGGATGAAAGTTTTGATTTGCAAATTGTGCTTCCTCTTGTTTTCAGGCAGTCAGAGCCTACACTTGTAAAAGTTCTGCAGGGAATACGGAAAGGAGTGTTTGATCCTGAGGATCTAAAACTTTTAGAACAAAGATCCTGCTTGCCAGAGGAGGATCCTTCAGCCGTACAGCTCTTTCCACGTATTGTAGATGTCAATAGGGTGAATAAGAAGTGCTTGCTCGACTTAGGGGAGCGAATAACTGTTTATACTGCTCTTGACACTGGTGAAGAATCTTCAAAGAAGCAGCTTAAGTCAGGAATTGTTCCCGATCAGCTTGAGCTCTGTATAGGAGCAAGGGTGATGTTGTGTAAGAATATAAATATCTACCAGAAGCTTGTGAATGGTGCCACTGGCACAGTAATAGATTTCCACGACCTGATTGATGCCAAATCTCAGCATGGTGTTCACGATAATGCTTGCAGGAAACATAGTGTTACTGACATGTATGATGGAGATCTTGAGAGCATAAGTAGTGATGGGAAAGTGTTACCAGTGGTAAAATTTGATTTTGGAGATGTGTATAGGATTGGTCTGGAGACATGGGTTGTGATGGATGGAGATACAGTTGTTGCTAAGCGTAGGCAGATACCCCTCATGCTAGCATGGGCTCTAAGCATTCACAAATGTCAGGGCATGACCATCGACCGCCTGCATACAGACCTCAGTCGAGCTTTTGGCAATGGAATGGTTTACGTTGCACTTTCACGTGTGAGAACCTTGGATGGGCTTCACTTATCGGGTCTTAACCCTAAGAAGATTCAAGCGGATCCAAAAGTTAAGGATTTCTACGAGAGAATCTCCTCTTTGCAGGATAAGCATTATCAGGATGCAAGTGCGTATTATTATAAACCTGTTGGAAAGGTTACCCAAAATGTAAGATAACAGGATGATGGAACCTGAAGCTGACCAATAATTTGATTGATCAGCATTGTACCAAAAATTAAGACTGCATTGAGGTTCGAACAATTGAAAGCAAGGAAAAGAACGGTGCACAACAGCACACCTGAGTGGTTTGGAAGTCAGGCAGAGGAATGTTGCTTTTAGCTGGTTGATGGAGATGAAATGGTATGGAAGTCGGGCAGGGTAATGTTGCTTTTTTACCGGTTGATCAAGATGAAATGGTATGGAAGTCGGGCAGAGTAATATTGCTTTTTTACTGATTGATCAAAATGAAAATAGCATCATACAAGACCCATGCATATTTTTTTGGATTGCATAGTGGATTTGTATTTACTATATATGCTGTAGGCGTATCGATGTGGTTCGGATCTTGCATTGAACTGCTTTCCAAATAATTGGTGGTCGGTGTTTGTTATGTTTCAAGTATGGCAAAGCAAATACTAAAATATCAAATGGAACACAAACTACTCTAGAGCTTCTCCACCTTCTATGTAAGGATGGCAATGAGTTTCAAACTGTGTATGATACAAGTGTGGTAATATTTTACAAACATTCACTCGCCAACATCTTTCTCAGTCATAATCATAAAACAAATGAAGTATGCATCCTACCAACAAATTTTGCAGATAATTTTCCTGTAAAAGAATAAGAAGTTCAAAGACCGTTCAATGAGAAACACCATTCGGGGAGCATGTACAATTCCTAAAAATGGTGTTAACAACCAATGAGAAACAAAAGGAAGAGCCACTTTTTCTTTTATCCATCTATTACATGATGGAGATGGCCACAGGGAATATACAGATTCGATGATGTTATTCAAAGCTTTGACAAAAGAATGAATTTGTTCTACTGTAAATAAGGCTATAAGCCAAACGAATTGGAGAACACTTGACTTCTGTTTTTCATCCAACAGTGGAGACAGTTGAGTGAGAGGATCTACTTCTTGAATTAGCGTGATCAGATTTAAATATGGCTTCAAGGCTTTGGAAGCACGTCAGCGCCTTTGCCTGCATAGCATAGAAACATTATAATTCAAAAGTAGAATGTATTAGGTGTTTCATAAGCATGCACAAAGCAGTGACTTTAAGAGCTCTAAAACATAGGTTGATCATTGCTTACATTCAAATGCACAAGTAATTCATACTGTATAACTTTTACTTTTTCATTCCTCTTTTTGTGAACATAAACTTCATGTTGTGATAAAGATCCAACATACTTCAACTTACAGCCAAAACTCAGCTGTGTGCTGCCTAATACTCTAATTGCCCAATTGTGATAATGCATCACTCCCATCATATCAATTGGAAATATGAAACTTTGTGGCACAAGCACAAGGAACAAACAAGAGAATAGGAGTGTGTCAAACCTTCCATCGCCATCCCCGAAGTAGATATCTATTAATTTCCTCAAGCCTGGATATTACGTGTCTAAAAGTTGGTCGCTTAGAGGGTTTATCATTCCAACAATCTTCAATTAACCTGTTAGCAAGGTATACACCTTAATAAGAATAACAATCCAATAACAGACGGAATGCAGGATTTGTAGAAAGCGAGGCAACAATTTGAATTTCAAGAACATAAAGTTCATGTTCAAATACAACAGTGAATTTCAAGAACATAAAGAACATGTTTTTTTTTTTTTTTGTAAAAGTAAAGAACATGTTTAATACAACAGTAAAAATAAGACAAACACACAAAGAAAGGACACTTACATGAGAATATATAATCTTTCTGGTACTAAAAGTTGGAAAAACAAAAGAACATCCAAAAATCAGGTGGTAAGATATGCTTGTCAGAGTGTTCTACGTAACAGAAAATCAACACAGGTTACTACAAGTTTCACAAACTAAACAAACTACTATAAAGGGGTGATAGTTCTACAGATGAGCAATTCAAAAGCTCAACACTAAGACCTCAGTGAATCTAGATCCATGCACTTTATATATACATAATGCTCCTTCAGCAGTAGCGTTTGGGACAGTTTGAAATATTATCACAAAGATTCGAGGAAAATCTTGGGCTTACTCTCTTAAACCATGGGCATAAAGCTTGGCAGGAGCCCTGAATGGAGGTCGTTCGTTCTGTACATATAATTTTGGAACTTCATTCTCTTGCTTCTCAGAAAATGGAAGAGAACCTTCAATCATCTGTGCAGAATTATTAAGGTTACAAACATTAATTAGTAACAACCCATAATTTCTTCGACAAGCTACATTTTTACATAAAATTGCTTCACAATGAACACAAAAATGTTGAATGAGCAGGCTTATACTGTTTTAAAGGTAACATTAGAAGACTAGTAATTGATTGCAAACTGGAAAGACCAGTAAAAGGAACCATACTGTCCTAATATATACACAGTTTCTGCTTTTGAGGGCTGAAGACCAAACATTGGCTATATGTTCAGCAACACATAAAAAAACCCGAAACTTTAAAACAGATGAAAAGTAACAAATAAAGCACCAGCAAGAGCTGGTAACTTCTTAAAATACAAAATTCGAGCGTCCTTACTTTTGCTAGGATTTTAACATCCAATCAGGGAAGTTCGACAAATAAGAGAACTTACCTCCTGCAGTATTAAAGCAAATGAAAATACATCAACTTTGGTATCATATTCCTCGTTCTTAAGAACTTCCGGAGCCAAATATCGCCCTACTCAGAAAAAAGAAAGAAACAAGGTATTAGACATTATTTTTGGTTGTAGCTTTACCCAAAACTATCTCCTCCACCATAACAAGGTTTATCTTACACGAAGTCTCTTGGCATCCAACAGGTTTATCTTCTTTAATAGATTTTGTGACTAACATCAGCTTGCTGAGTCCAAAGTCGGCAACTTTCAAATGCCCAGAGTCATCCCGTAGTATATTCCTGACATTTAAGAAAAAATGATTAGTAAAGATCTACGCTGTTCACAAGTACACTTCAAAGGACTATTACTCGAGAAACAATACACACCCACACTGCAAAGGGCTATTACTTGAGAAACAATTAATACAATTTCACCCAAAAAAAAAAAAAGGGAAACATACGATGGTTCCAGATCTCGGTGAATTATTGCTTCTGGTTTATGCTCGTGTAGGTAATTCAATCCTCTGCAAAATATACACTATTAAGAAACTTGAATTCGTGAACATTAAAAAATTAAAAAAAAAATAAAAAATAAAAAAAAAGATAGACAAGGTAAATAAACATAAAGCTCCAGTTGTAAATAAACCTAAAATCTGGACCAGAATTAAATTATCAAGGGAAAAATGACAAAAATCAAATTCTGGAGCAATAAGAACCTCTCTGTTGCCTGCCATATGAGACAGACAACCTGACAGTCTCTTTCGGGAATGTTAATTTTTATTTTTTTTTCATTTTTTCCTCTTTCGGGAATGTTATTCCATTGTATAAAAATCAGCAGAAACATGTCTACTTTACTTGAGATCACATTTATCAACAAGGCTCAGCTCAGGGCTGACACATTTTTATAAGAAGGAATTAACTCACCTAGCAATATCCAAAGCAAACTTTACTGCAATTATCGGCTTCAAGGCACCTTTTCTTCGTAAGAATGCACCAAGATCTCCCTGCACGCCATACAGATAATAAAACTGAAAAGTGAGCAACAATAGATACCACTCCTACGCCAAATCATCAGCACACACAATATCCCACTGATTTTTAACCAAACAGTTCAAGTCAGGTCTTATGCATGCTGAAGGGGGATCAGAAACGCAGAACTGAAGTTTACATACTATACTCTAAGCAGTAAATTGTCAACTTCAAAATCAGATAAAGTTACCTTTGGCAGATATTCTGTTACGATCATCATCGGTGTACTTTGGGTTACCGCGCCAAGGAACTGAACTACATTGGGATGCCGCAACTTTTGAAGCAAAGCAAGCTCATCAGTGAATGCCTTCCTGAAAAAACCAAGCCAAACCATTAATCGCAGGAGTATACAAAGAACATTTAACAAAATTTTAGGCTAATTACAAGTCTATGACTCATTAAATATGACCAACCCACACTTTCTCTCCATCTCTGAACAATTCTTCTCCAAGTCTCTTAACAGCAACCTGGGTTCCACGCCACGAAGCTATGCAAAATGTCCCCTTTCATGCATAAAAGTAGAGGAGAAAACATAAATAACTTATCAAAATGCATAAGTGACAACAAGAGTGAGAAGGGAAACAAAGAAGAATTGGAAAAGAGAAACGAATAGAGAAGAATTCTTAAATGGAAGAAAGAAGGAACGGGCATAGATTAAAACTAGTGGCCAAAAAACAAAATTATAGCTAGTCAAGGTTGCATATATTTCAAGTGCACAAAAATGATTAATTATGTTCCTCATGCACCAAGAAAAAGACTATACCTTTGTTATGTTAACACTCTTGCTAAAATCAAGTTCTTGTGGATTTATTTCATATTCTGGAACTTCACGAACATTTTGAACATGCATTGGAGCCACCTGGTGCAACAAAAAGATGAACTAAAATAGCTTAGATCAAAGCCAGACTAAAATAACTATGCGGAAAAAAGATCAAGAAAATAAGCTATGTTCATAGATGGGAGACCAAGTAGTCATACCGGATGTTTTGCTCCGTGTGCCTCCAGAAGCTTGATAACATCATTATTTTTGTAATAAATTGCATCTGCAAGAGGCTATTCAACCAAACCATGTCAGTCGACCAACAAATTACATCTGAACTAAATATTTGTAACTCAAATTATGTTCAACACCATTTAGTTTAAGGAAAACAAATCATGGTTTAAAACAGCGCCCAGGATCACAGAACCTTTATCACTAACACAACATAACCACATTTAGTTAAATCAATGAAATTCCAAGAAAATTGTGCAAAATTAATGGTTATTAAAGGAATGCTATCATCTCATACCGTGCTGCCCCAGCGATCCTTGACATCCACGGTGGCACCCCGACGGAGGAGCAACTGGACAACATCGGCAAGGCCCTGGCAGGCGGCGACGTGCAACGCCGTCCGGCCATCAATGTCCCGGAAATTGGCACTAGTCCCAGAATCCAAAGCCTCCTTAATCCCCTCCAAATCACCTTCATTCGCCATGTACATTAGCCTCACTCCAGGATCAACCACGACCCCGCCTTCACCCTCATCGACGTCCTCATCATCGGCACCAGAGACAACAGCGCCGCCGTCATTTTGACCCTCCGGCGCCAGTGAAGACTGCCTCCCTAAGCCGAATCTTTGCTGCGATTTCGACTCCATACCAAGAATTAAACAATCACTGGTTGTAAAAAGAGAAATTAAATCTTGAATTCTTTATAATTATCCTCGAGAAGAAAAAGAAGAATTGATAAGCTCAATGACGTGGTGGAAACAAAAACGTAGAAGAAATGGATGGGTGAAGTTCACGAGAGTGAAGTGAATTCTGGTTTTTTGCTTTCGTCTTTCAGTCTGAATTTTTGAAATTTGTTGGTCAATTTGAAAATGAAATGTTGGACTAATTGATAGGGAAGCAAGAAATTCTATTGGTTCTGCAGTTTACAATGACAAAAAATGGCGGGGGATTGGCGGCGGTTGACTGGTGGGAGGTGGCGTTTCTGGCCGGTTTTTGCCACCGTCAAATTGGGAAATACTATTATTCTTCTTGTTATTATTATTAATTAATTAAGGGGATGGAATTTTACTCCTCTTTTCTTATCTTATCGGAAAAGTAGTCTCTTTAGTAAGTGGCAAGCCAAAAATATAATATGGGAAGAAATCAAATTTCATTAATAAAATTTTTTATTTAACTTAAAAGAAAACTTATAATTCACATTTTGTTGTGGTCAACTGTTTTGGAAATTCAGTGAAACCTATCCATATGATTATCAACAAAAATGGTGTCACGTCCAAAACATTAAAATAAAATTATGACATGTTTAAAGAACATTTCAACAAGAGAGAATTAGGTTTTTATTAATGGACACCCAGCAAATCTCCAAGGAAAAAAAAAAGAATGTTTTTATTTTTGTGTTTATTTATTTTGGGGTTGGTTCACAAAGTTAGGGAGCGATTTTATATTGCTTAAATATTTTGATACTTCAACGAATTTACAATAAATATTAGGGCAACAAAAGAGGCACTTATGCACAAGTGATCTTAAAAAAGAGAGTATCTGATATAAATAAAAGTATTTTAAAATACTTGCCAGTATAATTTTTTTAAAAAAACAAGAAAATCATTCAAGGCCATTTTTTAAATAAATATATAATTAAACCCCACTAGCTACTACTCTTTGACACATTTGATTCTAAAATTTAAAACCTTAAAATTCACTAATTTTTACCCATCATTGAGCTATGACTCATTCCCCAAGCACTGAATATCTAATTTAGATTTCACGTATATATGATTACTAGTATTATGTCCACACGTTGTGCGAATTTCACTATATTTTAGAGTAACGTTAATATATTATTATTTTCTTATGAAAAGTGTCATATGTTTTAATTTTTTCGTTTTTTGGTATATTAGGCATCCGGAGTCCAAATTCAAGAGTGTCATATGTTTTTTTTTTCGTTTTTGGTATATAGTGTATCCGGTGTTTGAAATCATTATTCCAACTAATCCGTTTTCGAATCGGGTGGGTCACTTTTGGAAGACAAACATCTCCCAACAATCATTGCTACATGCCTATGAACAGATTTAATCATGGATTGTAGTTAAGTTGGTCCAATACTGTTACCACTTTGATCAAATACTTCTTAGCCATATAAGGTATTTTAAAATACAAATTAATATGTTCAACTATCTAATATGCTCCTTGTTTAGGAGTAATAGTATATAAAAAAATTCTAAATACGAATTAATATGATCAACTGTCTACTATCCTACTTTTTAGGGATATAAGTATATAAAAGTTATTTTTAACAAAAGAAATTCAATCATGTATATTCTTAAAATATATTGACTGAAAAGCATATACTCCCTCCATCCCATAATTATTGTCCAGTTTTACTAAAATGAAAGATTTTATTTTTGGTCAAACTTAACTATATTTTACCTTAAACAACCGGATATACCCCTACAAAAGTAATTGATTAACCACAAAGATTTTATGGATAATGTTTTTTACTAAGGACAAATGTGTAACTTGATCCATAAAAAGTCAAATTGGACAACAATTTTAGGCCAAAATTTTTTGGGCAAAGTGGACAATAATTATGGGACGGAGGGAGTATTATTTACTTATAGTAATTGAATCAAATATTATAAATAATCTTTTTTAGACATAAAGCAAAATAAAAGTAAAAAAAAAAGAAGAAAATTCTAACAAAAGTAAATAAAGCACAAAAATAGGAGGGAAAACCCATGACAAAAAAAAACTAATAAATAATTTTGAAATACTTATCCATACTCTATACTTTTTCCTTAGTTATTTTTTAATAGCAAAACAGGTTGTGCCTGACGGGTGCACTATCTATTTTTATTTATCTGGACTCATAACTTTTTCCTTAATAATGAAATTAAACTCTTTTTTTTTTGGAAAATATATCAAATGAAATTATTTAAAAAATAATATTAGCATATGAATGATGTATCTAAAATTTATTTTAAACTGTATTCGTAATATAATAATTTGGCAACTAATCTTATATTTTTATAACTATTTTTTTATTTTTAACAAATATATCAAATGGAATCATTTAAAATAATACTAATATATATTTAATGTATCTGGACTTAGTTTTGAATTGTATTCGTAATATAATGATTCGTTAATAATCTCTTTATTTTTGTAATTAATCTCTTTTTATTTTTGGAAATATATTAAATAAAATATTTTGAGAAATAATATTAATCTACATTTAATGAATCCAGACTTGGTTTTTAAATTGTATTCATACTATAATTATTTGTAGCTAATCTCATTTTATTTTTTTAAATTAATCTCTTTTTATTTTTTGAAAAATATATTAAATGGAATCATCTGTAAAATAATAGTAATTTATCTTGCATGTACACAGACTTGGTTTCAAATTGTATTGTAGTATAATTATTTAGTAACTAATCTCTTTTTATTTTTTTTGAAAAATATATGAAATGGAATAATCTAAAAAATAATATGAACATATGTTTAATTTATCCAGACTTAGTTTCGTATTGTATTCGCAGTATAATTATTTGGTAACAAATATATTTTTTTGTTATTAACTAATCTATTTCTATTTTTGGAAAATATATCAAATAGAATCATCAGAAAAATATTATCAACTTATGTTTAATGTATCCAGACTTAGTTTTAAATTATACTCATATAATTATTTGGTAAATAATCTCTTTATTTTAGTAAGTAGTTTCTTTTTATTTATGGAAAATATACTAATTATCTAAGAAATAATATTAACATACTTGTAATGTAGGTAGACTTGGTTTCGAATTGTATTTGTAATATAGTTATTTGGTAACAATCTTTTTTTTTTTGTAACTAATATATTTTAATTTGTGAAAAATATATCAAACAGAATCATCTGAAAAATAATATTAACTTACGTTTGATGTATCAAGACTTAGTTTCAAACTGTATTCTTAATACAATAAAATTTGATGATTAATGTTTCCTTATGTCATATATTTGTCAATAATTACCATAGACGTGTTTATTTTTCTCAAATAACTATTGGTTAATTACTTAATTCAATTTAACAATTTTACGTATTAGTAATAAATTTTTAATTGTTTAATGAAGGAGAATTTTGATAACGACACATGACACAATCGGCTAAACGTACTCCCTGGACAACACGTGTCGATTAAGAACTCTACTTTAATATATAAATATAGATATAGATATCGTTCATATAAATGAGCATAGGTTCATTATATTTATATCTTTCAAGTTTTATGTGTATTTCTTCAAAATAAAGAGCAAAAGCACTGAAGTATGGTACATTATAAGTCCAGTCCTCTCCGAAGATTTCTCGTAGCTCAAAAGTCATTGATCGATCAATTGACACTTTTCCGCATTCTTTAGCCCAATAAGCGAAATTAGATAGCAACTTTGAGAATATTATAAGACATTGCTTCCCTTTTGTACCTCAATCTTGAAATTAAATTGCAACTTTTATGGACGCTCTTCTATTTTGAAATTAGGGAATATTAGTGTATACATCCCAACATTTATACCCTGCTAGCGAATTTATCCCAAAATTTTAGAATTGGTTAATTACGTCCCAAGGTTATCAAAATTGAGCAGATTCATCTCATAACCTGCAAACCAACAAAAGTGACCTGATATAACAGGTAAAATCATTTGGATCCCATATTTAATATTTTTTACTTCTGTTTATTTGAATTTTTTAATTTTTTTTAGTTTATTAAATCTAAAAACTTTAATTTATTTGTAATGAATCTAATTTATTTTATAATCAAATTCATCTTAATTTTTCGATAAAACTTGAAGAAACTTTCCAAAAAAATTTCTTTATTTTGAGTGAAAAATAGAATAATTATGCTTACACACACAGATATATATATATATATATTGTATTCAAAAATTAATTAATTTTGAGTTTATCTAAAATTATAAATTATGTCATTTGTGATGCATAAATTATTTTGATTAATTAAGTAATTTTTTTCGATTTTTTTTTAATTTAGAAATTTTGTTTGTTTTTTAATGAACTAAAAAATGACAAAAAAAAGAGAATAAAAGAATAAATATTAAATTCAATAGATTTTTATCTGTTATATCATGTCATTTTTATTGTTTTGCAGGTCATGGGATGGATATGTTCAGTTTTGATAACTTTGGGACGTAATTAATCAATTTTAAAACGTTGGGATGAATTAGCACGCTAGTGTAAACGTTGGGATCCACTCATTCACCCTTTGAAATTATTCAGTTAATAAAATTATTTACTTTAAAAAAAAGTAAAAATATAATATATGGGACTATGGGACTAAAATATGGGACTTATACTATTAACAACCACAACTCAAGTGGTTTTGAAATAGGTGCAAAACTGGAGTGTTTTTTTTTTTTTTGGGGGGGGAAAAGATACCTGTAACTTTATTAATATGATGAGATACCTGAGCTATTTTGAATTATTCTCAAAATAGTTATTGAGAATTAGTTCAGGTGAGCTTGCGTCATGTAGCTCGAACTCATATTGAAAATATTAGACAGTCTTATAAATTGAAAAAGTTATTTTAAAGAAAATACGACTGTAACCTGTAAATTAGAATCAATTATTAGTAATAAAAAAAATCCAAAACATAAGTCAACATGTGACATGCCTCTTAACCGACCCAAATGAAGGAAACATTTTCCCCTGTTTGCATATATAGAGCCTGGTTGCCCGTTGAATAGCTTGAAAAGCTGCTGCTAGCTCAGATTATTGCTTCAAAACGCAGCTTAATTGATTTTAAAGAAATATACTTCAAACTGAAGAAAGTCGAACCGCCTTGTTTTGTATTCAGTAGTTTCCGCGGCTGCAAATTTCTTAATTGGAAAGGAAAACAGAGGAGAATACCTGGTGGCGAAGGAAGAAAAAAATGTTAGAAAAGAGTGAATGAGAATTAAGTTTCTCAAGAGTTGGAAAAATTAGAGTTAATGCTAAGGGACTTTGTCCCACATGGGTGTTGGGAAGAGCTGGAGCTCACTTTATAAGGGAGAGCCCAAAATTGACTTGCAAGTTGACTTGCCAATACTATACCACATCTCTCCCGCTCGCGTGCGCCCGCACAGGGGGGTGCAAATGGAGGTCCGATTCGGGGCTAAAATAGCCTGACTCATGTGTGCGCACGACCTGCGGACACGAATGCCGGACCGAGCTCTAGCGGGCCTGATCAACCCACATTTTGCTACGGTTCAGATTAATTTTTTTCAGCTAAAATTTTAATGTGGAGATTTATGTTCATTCATTTCAGTCAAAGAAAAAACTGAAACATTGTTGTCGAATGAGCAAATGAATGGCGGATTTAATACTGTTTAAATGGCAGAATGAATTCTTTTGACTGTTTGATTGTCAAAAACGTTTTGGCTGTTTATGTGCCATGAATTCGTGACATTTAACAGAATTAAAACACCAAAACTGTTTGAAGTTTTGCTGCCATTTCAAAGGTTTCTCCAGCCTATAAATAGGCACTCATTTTCTAAAGTTCAACACACCAATCCTTCCTCCTCTATCAGTATTCTTTCAAGCCTTTCTTTCCTTCTCTTTCAGTTTTTGGTGTTCATCATCGTGTTCTAAATTTCGTTCGCTGGTAGAACTTCTTTGTGCTAAGTAGTCTCTACGTTTCCGTTGTATCATGGGAAACAGTTGCTCGAGATTCTCAAGCACCATAAGAGGGGGCAAATCTGTTTTAAGGAGATCGTGTTTCCACGAGCCTTGGATTTCTTCTTCTTCCGTTTTTCTTAGCCTTTGCGAATACTACCCATATTTCCACCAACAAAAAACGGCCTCGGTTTAGGAAATAAATTTCTAGAATCGATTTGGGCTTTATGTATTCCATCATATTTACAAGAGGGAAGCTGAGGAAGAAGAAGAAGAAGAAGAACAGAGGTGGGAAGAAGCTTTAGCGACTTATACAGAGGAAGGATGAAATTGAAGTGCGGCAGGTGTGATAGGGAGGAGGCCCGGCTGTTCTGCTGCGCCGACGAGGCCGCCTTTTGTTTTGAATGTGACCAGAAAATTCACTCCGTCGACCAGCCGGTGAGTAAGCACCAGCGAGTTTCACTCTCTTCCTCCTCTGCTTCTTCTCCTCGACCCAAATGTGATATTTGCCAGGTACCCTCCTCCTCTTTTGAGTTATTCTATCGTGTTTAATTGCGATTAACAGGACATACATGATTATAATTAAAGGGATTTGAAATTTCTCTGAGGAAGAACAAAAAAAAAAAGATTTTCTCTTTATTCTCTTGAATTGACTGCCTCCCCCGGTCTGATAAATAATTGAATCAAGTTGATTCCTTGTATGGAGTGGTGAAGTTTTTTTTTTTTTTTCTTTTGGTGGATTGGGTTTATAGGAAACAGTTGGGTACTTCCTTTGTCTGGAGGATCGAGCATTGCTGTGTAGGAAGTGCGATGTTTCTATACACACTCTGAATCCTTTTGTGTCCAGCCACCAAAGGTTTCTGCTTGTTGGTCCGAAAGTTGGGTTGGAATCTACATATGAGATGGCCAAGTCCACTCCTAATAAGATTTCTAGTAAATCTGCAGTCCTACCTCAGAAGTCAGTTACAACAAGTGGCCAAGATGGTAACTCGGTGTCCGCTGATGGAGGTAATAAGGTTGTCGGACTTACCACGGCCAATTCTGCAATCAGTACAGACACACCGGGTAAAGAGATTGTAGATTTATTTTGTACTTCCAGTGATAACTGTCCATCAAGTCAAGATGAAACATCCAAGGTATGTCATCACTACTAACTTGTTGAGTTTAGGGAAAGATATTGGATGATTTCATGATGGGTTTGTCATATATGTTTTTTTATTGTACTTTAATGGATCCAATATATATATTACGTAATTCGAGTGTGACATCTCAATTATTTTCTTCCTGAGTTTCAAAGGCATTTCTTTTATGCTTTTCTTTAGATCTTTTGAATTAATGTAAATACAAAGTGAGTATATACCATTAATGGTGTAGATGGTCATAAATCTCATACGGTTGCACTTGATAACGAAACATTTTTGTAACTTCCATTGATCAAATTTAGGCTGAGGGTAAGGTGCACGGCAATTCTGAATGGTGGAAAATTCTTCATTCAACTGAGGAGGAGTTGCTGAATGGTGAGTGGACTATTCGAAATGATGGTGCACCTTCTAGGGAGCCTCAGCTATTAGGCCAACATTCTCCTCAACGAGACTTGGTGTCATCAAAAAATATTGGTGGATCTTCATCACACAACACTAGGACCATCTCAAATTCAGGAGGATCTCCTCTCGGTGCTGACTCCCAAAATCATTTTGATTCTGCCTTTTCAAAGCGCAAAAAAAGCTCTCATTTTTAAGACACACATGTTCTATTCGACGAAACCACCCAGACATCCTATATATGTTTGATTTGTTGTTCAATCCCCCCTTAGAGCCATCAAGGTCTCCAAGGATGGATTTCTTCTTGTACAACCATTGAGATGGCCAAGTGGAACTCTTATTGGTGCATTCAATGTGTTGAGTTTCAATGTTTTGGTTGTGGTACTAGTTTTTTATCAGTAAACTTCGTTTAAGATTTACTTGCATTTTGTATTAAGAAATTAGGACAACTAGTCGGTCAAATCATGTTTTTTTTTTCCGCTACTGAAAGGAATGGTATTGTTGAAAGGTGATAGATTATTATTAGGATAGATTACGTCTATCAATTTCACGGTTAAGGCATCGATTAACTGCATTGCAACAATGGGAGTAACGAAGAATTAACTTGTAAGAATGAAGTTCACATAAGAGTCTTGAAAAATATAAATAAACGATCTCTAAAAAATCTAAAAAACACATAAGTTTTGTATGTGACGGAGTGAGGACAGTGCGAAACAAATTCAACCAAACAAGTGTAATAAACATGACATTTTTGTCTTTAGTGTTTGAGCATATCATATCAAATATTATTCAATGCGCCCAATCTAAATTAACATATCATATTTAAGTAGGTCGTAGGCACACTTAGAGTCTCTCCAATAATCTTATTATCTTATCTTATCTTATCTTTTTTTTTTTTGGTTTCCCCTATACCGCATATGCATTAGCCTAATGCTAATTCAATTATACATGAACAATTTGAAGCATATTCAATTAAGAGGCTATATTTGGAAGGTTTTTTGAGTGTGTTTTTTTTGTATTGGGAATATAAAAAAGTGTATTATAAATGTAAAAAGGTGCATTGGGAATCTAAAAAGGTATGCTGGGATGAGATAGATATTAATTTAAAATTCAAAAAAAATTAACCAAAAAAGGAACCAAACATAGCCTAGGTTCTGAACCTATGCGTTTGTACGGGTATGTAATAGATTAATGTATTTTTGCTTTTATACAAAAATTTTAATTTAAACAAAATGAGTGAGTTCAAAATGAGCGAATTGAAAATATAATGCATCATTTGCCATTCATATGATGATCAAGTATATGTAGGAGTAAATTAGTAGTAAAATTCTGCATATTCATTGCAGAACGGGGATAGCATACATTTGCTATTGGTCCTAATATTAATAATATTAAGATCAACTTTTGACAATATCACTTTCCTAACCATATAAAAATGATTTCACAACTACATTTAGTTCTTATGTTTTATTCTTCACCCAAATGCCTATGTAAAACCAAAAAGAGTCAAATTTTGCCAACCACAAAAAATTATGCAATTTATTTAGATTCAGAAAATTAGTGCTATTTTTATAATATATAATATTGTTCTTGCCGAACTTGTCGATGATTTGAAACACTGAAGTACAAAATGTGGTTCCCTTTTTTACTTCGATCTCGTGTGCAAACAAATCTTGGAATATTCAGAAAAAAAAATCTGACTTCATAGTGCAAGAATTTTCATTTCTGCAATCAAAATAAGAAACAGAGAAAGTGATAAAGGATGATTGATATGCTTAAAATTTACCTATTTTTTAATATTCTTTTATGCGAGATTTTGTCAATATTTTGAATACATTTCTGCTATTTATGTGATTTTATCTTTAATTGTAGAAATTGTACTCAAATGGAGAAACTGTTGAATTTTTGGGCTAAAATGACGATAAAAACAACTTAAAGGGAGAATTGAAGATTTGATAAATTGACTAGGAAGAAATTAAAGAACTTGAAGAGTTGGAGGATTAAACAAGCAATTTTGGGATTTGGTTTTGAATTTGATCGATTTGAGCTTCTGCGGATTTTGCCGAAGAAGAAGTCTTCCAAATTGATTTTGGGGTGGCCGAATAAATTCATCTGGGGGGAGTTTTAATTTAAATTGGCTTGAAAAAAATAACTTTGTTATTCTTAAAGAAATAGGGTTTGACAAAAGCCTATAAAAAGAGGATTAGGGTTTTATTTTTGGGGACAGAGACTGAACCTTCGCGCACAACTCCATCTCCACCAAAGCCTCCACCCTTCTCCATCACCGCCCTACACCATTAGACCCTTCATCACCCCATAAACATCACCTTCCACCGCCATATACCAGTTACACAAAAACCTTCCTCCACCAAACCCCTTCTACGCAACTACACAACCCCACGCCACACACCTTCACCAAAACTACTCCCATCACAAAAATTACTCCCAACACCACCGAACTCCGACGGCCACAAAACTCCCACACCTCCATGCACCAAATCACCTCACGCTTCCATCACCTTGCTACTTCCACGCAATCCATCACTACCTCAAGCACCAATCCAAAGCATCATCATTATCGGAGGAAGCAAGCAATTTCGGACTCCCGGGTTTCATTGTTTTATTTATTTTAGAATAATGTGTAGCTAAACTTTTTAATCTAGGGTTTTGGTTGTAGCCGCGGTACTATTTAATTTAATTTAATTCATGATTGCGACTTTTTCATTAGTTGATATTTAATATTCTTGTTTTTATTCCATGTTAGTATTTGATCACCACTTGCATGCTTTAAAGGTGTTTAACTGAAGGAACGGTGGTTGAAGGTTAGCACTAGTTCATGGGAATATTAAACTTAGATAGTGGGCCACGATAGTAGGAACACCGTCTTTGCAGCTATAGATTCTAGGGTTCTTAATGTACTCTAATTAAATCCTATAGTCACGACAGTAGTCATAGAGTTAGTTTGAGTAAGAGAATTATATCACGACAGTGAATAGTTCTTAAATAGGTGATTCGTTGTGAGATTAATGAAAGTCCAAAGTCACATATCTATAGGTTGAGTTAAACAGAGTAGTCGGTAGGTGAACCCTTTGTCCTAGGTCTTCTTTTATTAATTAAATTTAATAATTAGTGTTAGGTTTAGTTTAATTTAAAATCATTATTGTTAGTTTTCTAAATAATAATAAGAAATAATTTATAGCTGGTAATTAGTGTTCCTTCTCTGTGGGTACGACCCTATTTTCCGCTATACTAGTGTTAAATAGGTAAATTTATTTGACTAATTCTGATGACGGCTTGTCAATGATGATAGAAATTACTTGCTCAATCAAGAAGAAAAACAGATGGCAATTAATGTAGATGGCAATTACATTACCATTTGATTTTTTTTTTTGGCCGAATCTTCTCATGAAAAAAGAGCTGTAATTTACAAATGTAGTTCTTTTTTTCTCTCTTTTTTTTTTTGTTTTTAGTTTGTTATTTGTGGTCATTCTTACAATAGCAAGTAGGTCTTTAAGTTACCCATGGATTGAGAACTGTAGCACATGATTTTAGATAAACTTGCAAGATTTTATTGAATGAGTTCCTGTCAACTTCTAATTTCGATAAAAAGTAACTCACATTATAAAAAAGAAAAATAGAAACACAATGAAAAGTCATATGAAATTGTTTCAACTTTGGAATCAATTTGTGCCTAACTTGTCAATTTCAATTTTGAAGATTTTATTTTCGACTTAAAATGTTAAGCTTGAGTCCATATGAAAATTAAAAAATCAGACCTACGTATCATCCCAAAGAACAGAGTAAATCAAAATGCAAAGATACCATTAAGTCTATTAGTTTGACACAATTACCAAAAGTAAAAGAGTAGGTTTAGCTTGAAACTTCAATACTGAGAAGTCTAGTGAAACAAAAGGAAAGTAACCAAATGGTTCAAATATAAAAAGTAAATTTCTAAGTGAAAATGTAGTAAAAACTAGGGCTGGCAATCCGTGTCGGGTCCGGGTTGGCGTGTCGGGTCGGAACCGAACCTGAATAATATATAGCCAACCTGGATCCGACCTGTTTAATTATACAAGTCGGAATTACCAACCCTAACCCGACAATAAGAAGGTCAACCCGGGTTGACCTGTTTAACCCGTTTAAAAAAAATCAGAAAAACCACACCTCGGCAAATTCAGGCTATTCAACTCGGAAAAAAATACAGAGACCCACAAAGCCTACCAAAATCGACAAACACACTTGCAATAGGTTGTTCTTCAACCCCGTATACATTCGGCATTCCCCTTCAAAAATGCCAAAAAAAAATTCCTTTTTTCCCCTTTTTTTAGATTTCAAGCTTTAACATCAGGACTACAACTTTCAAACCCAAATGAATTTGTCTGTAAACTTCATCCTTGGAAGCCACGAATTTGAAAAGATGAGGATTCAAACACGTGACTTCAAATCAAGGAGAAGGAGTTCCATTCTGATTCTGATGATGATAACGTGCTTCAGGAAATATAAGGAGAAGAAAACGGCCAAGAGGAAAATCAAGAAAATACAGTGGCTGAACCACCGAAAGAAAATAAAAAACAGCCTAAGCAATTGAAGAATCAACGCCGGCAATCCCAACAGCACAGCACGAAGGAGGAGGAGACCGTCGTGAAGATGATGATTGATGAGCGGGGATTGGGAACACCGATTTGTGATAGACGGCGAGAGAGGTTTCAAGGTCAAAGTGGAGGGGAATCAGAGTGGAGGGGAATCGGCGGAAGTTGGGGGAGCTGAACTTCGGCTAGGGATTGGATGCAGAAAATTGGAGCCGCCGCCAGGAGGACGGAACCCTAAAGGGAAATCGAAAATTTGTGCGGGATGATGAATAAAAGAGTATATATATGAGCTGAAATTAGGGTTGGGATAGCAGTAAAATTCCCAAATTACCCCTACAGTATACAAAATTTACATATTCGCGAGTAACCCGGATAACCTGTCGGGTTGACCCTAACCCAACCCGTATATTAAACGGGTCCAAATTTCCAACCCTAACCCGACCTATTTAATATGCGTGTAGTGTTCGTATCGGGTCATTTCGTGTCGGGTTCGTGTCGAAATTCCGAATCGAGTCAGAGATTGCCAGCCATAGTAAAAACTTATCTTTTATGGTTGTAGTGTGCAATTTTTTGATTTGACTTTCAGACCATAACACTGATTTCTTTTCAACAGAGATTTTCACTGCTCAATTTTGCTTCCCAAACACCTAATTTTTCAAGAAGAAACATATCTTTTAAATGATTACAATGGAAAAAAAAATGCATCAATAATATTCTTTTACAACAAAAGCACTTGCCGTAATCAATAATTGATGCCGATTCCATTGAATTCTACTAGGCTCCCTCGAACTACTTGTGGACTAATGTTGTAATCAGCCTATTTCATTGTCGCAGTGTTTGACAGGCCCTTGATGGTGTAGGGGAACTCTTTCCTTTTCTTGAATCT